TAGGGAATCTAACCTCACAATGCAGTAGTATTTATGTATAGAATTGGCCATGTGAGGTCAGAATTTTGATTTAGCCCTAAATTACACCGCCATTCCTTGCACAGTCTGCATTTGACCATCTTTGTGGCTCCGTCTCAGTCCCATGTGTCGGCGGAAACTAGGAAACCTCAGAAACTTCAATGCAAATGGAATCAAAGTGACTCCAAACACGTCCAAGACCACAGCAAAGAAACGGAAGGCAGGAGAGAACAATCAGAATGTATGTGGTTGTGCTCTCTTACCATACCCCCATTGAATGCAATGGAAGGTCGCACTGCCAAATGTCAAGCCTCGAAAACGTCGCAGAGTCAAGAAACCCGTTGGCAAGACAAGAAACGCATCAGATGAAGAGAATGACGCGTCAGACAACGCGAATGACGCGCCAGACAACGCGAATGACGTGCCAGACAACGCGAATGACGCGCCAGACAACCTGAATGACGCGTCAAACAGCAGGCAAGACACATTGGACGAGATGATCCATGATGAGCTCTTTTTGCTTGACAACACTCAACTACCACAACTGGAGCCAGAGCCTGCGGAGAACCGCATCGCAGAGGACCACGACCCGATTCCCATTCCCATGAGCAACAACAGTAGCCCTTGCTCTGTCCCACCATCACCCATCCGACACCTTCCAACAATCACATTGTACTCTGGTGTTTTCACGGCAGATCCAGACAAGATTGACAGAGACTTTGGGGAGGCAGATGAAGAGGGACACGAAGAGGAGTTTCTGGACCCTGAACAAGAGAACGATGATTTGCAGCCTGATCCTGAAACTCCATGTCCAAGACCCGGCACTAGCGGAAAAGCGCGACAAGCGCCAACAGTTGTAATAGCTCTGGAATCATTAGAATGCATCGACACACTGCTCTTTGTCCCACAGGCTGCCAACCAAAGACAGCGACGCATTCCCACCAAGCTTGCTGGGTGGAGCCGTGAATGACTACATGGCATTCAGATCTTCTTGAACCTGTATACGACAAACTCCTCAGCTACGTACGACAAATGGACAGAATCCTCGATTGCCGCCGCTGCTGCCCTCAAGCGTGCGAGGAAGACAAACAGTCGTTATGGATCTGCTCGGTCTATTCGCGATCGTGCTCGTACTTTCATCGAGACCCGGAAGATTCCTGCGAGCTCGTTTGGTGCATGGGCCAAGAAGAAGATGGAGACTCACCCGGAACTCGCCGAAGCATTGATAGAGCATTGCGTTGGGGTGGGACCGTATGTTCAGGCCAAGGATCTCGTGGAGTTCATGAGTCGGCCTGAGATTCAAGTCCAACATAATCTTCCCTCCACCATCTCCATCGCTACCGCCAAACGCTGGATGCACGCACTGAAGTTCCGATGGGTACGAAACCACAAGGGCCAGTATGTTGACGGACACGAACGGGAGGATGTCGTCCAATATCGGCAAGCGGTTTTCATCCCGGAATGGTACAAACTCGAAGACCGCATGCGTTCATGGACAGGACCAGAGATGAATGAGCTAGAGACCGTCACGAACGGTATCCATGGTGCCTCGATGCAGATCAACAGCAAACGAGTTGTCGTCTGGTTTCACGATGAATCGATGTTCTATGCTCATGACCGTCGTCTCGCGCGCTGGGTTCAAGACGGTGCATCACCAACTCCGTACGCAAAGGGCGAAGGTGTCTCTCTCATGGTTGCGGATCTTGTTTCCGCCGATTATGGATGGCTGCGTTCACGGGATGGGAAGCGCTCTGCGCGTGCTGTCTTCAAACCAGGAAAGAATCGCGATGGCTATTTCACAAACACAGAGATTCTTGAGCAAGCGCGCAATGCAATGGAGATTCTGGCTTCTGACTATCCGGATGAGGAGCATGTCTTGGTGTTCGATAATGCGACAACTCACTGTAAACGACCTGATGACGCCATCTCCGCTCGAAAGATGCCTAAATGTACACCGGCTGAGGGCAAGAACTGGGGAGTTTCGATACTGGCTCGCGACGAACATGGGAAAGAGGTCCTTGACAAGAATCAAAAGCCGGTGATGGTCACTATCCCAATGGCACCTGGCAAGTTCCCCGACGGTTCTCCACACCATTTCTATTTCCCACCCGGTCACCCTCGTGCTGGCATCTTCAAAGGCATGGCTGTAATTCTCGCAGAGCGTGGGATCGACCTTCAGTATACCTGTCCGAAAACTGGTTCACAGAAGACGCTCCTCGCTCAGTGCAACGGCTTCAAGTGCCCTGATGTCACCAATCCCGATGCCCGCTGTTGCTGCCGTCGGATCCTTTATAACCAACCTGATTTCAGGAATTCGCCATCACGTCTCGAGATTCTATCCCGGGAACACGGCTATAATGTTCTCTTCCTGCCCAAGTTCCATTGCGAGTTAAATTTCATAGAGATGTGTTGGGGCAAGGCCAAACTGTTCTATCGAAAGCTTCCGGCCTCGTCAAAGGAGGAGGATGTCGAAATCAATACAACACGTGCGCTTGAGTCCGTAACTCTGTGCGACATGAGAAAGTAAGTGGTCCGAATTTACCCGCATTGACTGCTCTGAGTCTCAACATTTTCTGCATAGATTTGCTCGGAGATCAAGACGTTTCATGCATGCCTACAAGGTTGGTCTTGACGGAAAATGGGCAGCGTGGGCAGCCAAGAAGTACCGGGGCCATCGAATGCTGCCCGAAAGCCTGATGGAAGAACTTGATGTTGCAAAAGCCTCCGAGCTCCAAAAGAGTGCATAGAATGTATTTTGAATGCCTACTAATCATCTTGATACTGAATTGCTCGATAATGTATCTTAATCTTGTGTATATACAGCGTTGTATAAGCGTAAAGTACTTAGCGTCAAATCCGAATTGTAGTCTTGAGGCCGAATTGGGTGAGGTCTGGTCACACATCAGTAACCTCACGTGACGTGTGCCGAAAGTCCATGAGCCCTACCTTACCGGGAATGTTCAATTTATAGTGCGAATCGTCCTTTTGTGGCGGAATGACCCAGCAGGGATTAGCTCAGCAACAGCGCATTCACGTGGTCTCGTGATCGTGTTCTGGACACGTGATGTATCAACGCGACTTTCCACGCATTGTCACCGGATAAGCGCTCCCTCCAGATGAGCGCCTGTGCCCTGGACAGCTTCGCCATACGAACAAATCACCCGCATTGATACCAAACCATGTTTGACGATGACATCATGCAGGGTGGGAAGTATCACATCACGATAGGCTTTCTAAGCCCCAGATCCGCGGCAAGCCGGGAGATCCGTAGCATGCGTATAACATCATCCCTTCCTCCCACCCTCGCACCCATCTAACAGAGAAGAAGACATAATGGCCCGCTGGACCGACTACCAAGATGCAAGTGGCCTTCTCTCCGCGACCGCACCTTCCTGACGCTGTCACTCACCGCACATGGCGTTATCCGCAGGACTCCGAGCGCCTTCCACCGGGCATCCGCCGCACGGGCTACGACGCGGACACGGGGCGGTACACATTCGAGGACCGGGACGGGAACGTGTACCGCGGGCCGCCCCACTCCGCGTACGGCGCGCTGACGCTCGTCCGCTCAATCTCAGGTCGTCCCGGTCCTGAAGCTGCCGCGCTGCCGCTTGTGGATCGGCCACAGGCTTTTGCCGCAGGTGCGTCCGAAGTCTCCGCGCTGCGAGTCGCGTGTCGCGTGTGCATTGCGTCATGCGAGTGCGTGTGCTGATGCTCGTGAAACGATCGATTGGCAGATAACAGCGACGCCAAACCGGCCGCACTCTCCGTCGACACGCAGGCTGCGGCCGCGACGTTCCAGGACTTTCTGCCGGCGCATCTTATCACTTCGCCCTCGGCGTCCAAGGCAGATGCACCCGTCGCTTCGCCTGTCTCGCCGAAATCGCGCTTTCGCAGTGTAGTGCGCCGGGCGGCACTGCCCGCGATGCACAACGTCGTGCAGAACCTGCGGCGGTCTGTGACGCACAAGCAGGGTGGTCCGCAGAGGGATGGGGAGTCTGGGCGAGGATATGCATCCTTGAAAGAATGAATCAGTGCTGGTTAGCAAGCAGACCAGAAGTCTCGGCTTTTCCCCTGTGATGGACGTGCAAGTTAATTATAGTCGCTTGGACCGGGTAGATTATGTAGTTGCGATCTCGGTTCTTTCCTTTCCTTCCGTGGATGGTCAGAGGAAATTTGATCGGAAGCAAATCGGCGGTGTTTCCTTTTTTAAACGGCTTTGTCCTGGTAGAGAACAATGGCCGGTGTCACTCGTGGGCCGCAGATCCTGAGCTCGAGGGGATGGCCGGGCTCGGCCATCCCCTGCTACGGCCTCGTTCCAGCAATGGCTCGTAAACCCCACCGCTGCTGACAAGATCTGGATCTCGCGCATACACCCGCACACACACACGCATCGATTGCGCTTGGCGCCTATGCATCCAGTTGGACCCTGAGTACGTGAACTGCAAGGACTATACTAATCGATATCTTCGTGGCCTTCATCGCTTTCGGCTCTCATCCACCCACGCTCCATTGCTTATATCTGGGCCCTGCCCGGTTCGCATCCAGCCCCCAGTCCCCAGATGTACCCCCATCCGCATCCGCAGGCCCATCCGCATCCCCAAGCCCAAAACCAAAACCAAGCCCAAGCCCAACCACAAGCAACATCGCATCTGTACCATCACGCGGGCACGCCACCATACCCCCGCCATCTACCCCACAGGTCGTCTCAAGCTGTCATCCTCCCGTCGGTCCAGCAACCTGGCGCGCCTTCCCATCAATACCCCACCCCCAATCTCATTCCCCATCACCCGGGCCATCAGCAGCAACAGCAGTCGCAAGTTAACCGACCGATCCACTTCAAGGAGGGCCAGTTCGCCGGGCGCACGATCCGCGCGTCGCTCGACGAGCTCCAGGCAGCGTCGTTCGGTCGCAAGTGAGTGGTGCCGGTTGCTCGGTCCTTGCAAACGGAGTATTGATTGTTTGTGCGTGCGTGTACCTAGGTATGCCAAGGTCGATCGTCGGCCGCTGGATCCACCACCAGGTCAGTTGCTGCCCCCCACACGTCACGTCTGTTTCTCAACCCGACCCCAGTCGTCTGTCTGCGGCTCTTCGAGGTGTTCGACGACGGTGCGGGTGGGGAGACAGAGAAGGAGATTGACTACGAGTGAGTCGTGCCCCCTCCTTCCGTGTCTCCGCCGGCGCAGCAGCAGGAAGCTCACGATCTCTGCGCACGCGAAGCAACATCCACATTATGGGCCTGATGTGCATGGTCGACCTGATACCCGTCAACCCGCCTGCGCCGTCGCCCACGACATCCGCGCCATCCTCATCGACCTCGACACCGTACTCGCCCCCGCAAAGCCCACAGTCGCCATACTACAGCACAGCGTATCCACGGCCAGGCGAGAACGCGACAAGCGCACTGGCGGGGACGACGTTCGTGCAGGTCGACAGCATCCCGTGGAAGGGCCGCACGAGTCTGCTCTTCACGTTCGCTGTAAGCATGCCTTTCCCGGCTACCTTCGCGCGCGCGCGTGTTCTGTTTCTCCCGCGTGATTGACAGCCGCTTCCACTCCGCAGGATCTGGCAGTCAAGACGGAGGGATACTTCATCCTGCAGTACCGCTACTTCGACATCTTCTCGACTGCCGCGGGCCACGTCGAGCAGCAGATCCAGTCCCTGTGCCGCGGTGACGCCTTCCGGATATACTCCTCGAAGGAGGTGCCGCCGCTCGGCAAGTCAACCGAATTGACCAAGGTGCGTCCCAGACGGAGAATCCGTTTTTGTTTACGAGTGTGTGTGCGTGTGTGCGCGCGCGCGCGCGCGTGGGCCCCGGTTTGCGTTTGGCTGATTCGGGACACAGCATCTCGCTCGGTACGGTGTGCGGGTCAACGTGCGCGAGACGGAGAGGAAGCGCAAGAAGAAGGAGCCAAGCGGAAGCAGCAGCGTGATCCCCAGCCCGCCATACACGACGCGGAAGGTTCCCGATCGCGGCTGCTCGGACCGCAGCGAAGACGATGAATGAGGTCGTGGAGGGACGACGATACGATATCACTGATGGCGGTGACAATAGGATTCAATATGGAACACTCACTTAGAGTATGTGTCGTTAATCTTGCTCTTTAATAACCTCAATTAGATCCGGCTCGGTTTCTCGTTTGGCGAGCGCCTTAATGTCGGCGAGACCAGGACCGCGATCCACGATCTATTATTGCATGAGATACATCTGTTACTTGGCTACTTCCGCAAAGCGTTTCTCCGCCTCGGCAAAGTTGATGACATTCCAGATCGCCGCGAGGTACTGTGACAGACAAGTAGTGAGCACAGTGAAACAGAAACACTTGATGAGCTTCTTACATCGGGCTTGACGTTCTTGTACTGTACGGAAACGGTTAGGCAGGTTTGGCACACCTAGGTGGGGACTTGCCTGGAGGTAGAACGCCTGTAGACCATGTTAGACTGAGGGAATGCGTCACGAGAAAGCATGGACATACGTGCTCCCAGATGTCGACACCGATGATGGGAGTGTGGGCTGTATCATCAGTGAGCTACTCTCCAACAGCACGAAAAAGCCACGAGGACTTACTAATCAAAGGGTCCTGGTTGGAAGTCGTCACAATCTCCAGCTTCTTAGAGGCCGGGTTATATCCCTGGCCAGTCGTTAGTCACTGCGCGTCCATCCCTCTCGTCCGGATCCACGCACGAGCCAGCCCCACCCACTGCCCTGGATGGCAGCCGTCTTGGTGTTGAACTCCTTCTTGAAAGCATCCACGGACCCGAAGTCGCGTTCGAGTGCAGCCTTAAGCGCGCCATCCTCGAGCTTGCTCTCAGAGGCAGGTGCCAGGTTCTTCCAGAACAAAGAGTGGTTGATATGTCCTAGACAGCCGCACCTCGGCACGTGTTAAGAAAAAAAGTGTGGGAATAAAGCGCACCTCCTCCGTTGAACTTAAGCGCAGCCTGGAGCGCAATTTGCTCCTTGGTCGAGGAGGACTTTGCGTACGACTCCTCCGCCGCGTTCAGGCCGTTGACATACGTCTGGTGGTGCTTCTTGTGGTGCAGCGTCATAATCTCTTCGGAGATATACGGCTCCAGGGCCTACACCGTGGCGCACTCAGATACGCTCGGGGAAGACCGGAAGGTGACGATGATACACACATTGTACGCGTAGGGGAGGTCGGGAAGGGTGTGGATGGAGGCAGCAAGACGCGACGCGCGTGCGACCGTCAGAGTGGGCCGGAGGGCAGTGCGAGCTATCGAAAACATGGTGGTAGCGAAGAGACTACTGTGTAGGGTGGTGGGTTGGTGTCGATTCTGTCGAATGTGGTGACAGAGATACTTGAAGAAGAGATGACGCAGTGGGGTCTTACGGCATTTCGGATATATTGACCGACTATACTTGGACAATCAAATTCTCCTGACAAAACTTGCTTACGCGCACCGATCAGATTAGGGTGCGTCATTGCAACTGTGAGCGCTTGCAGGTGCTCAAATCAGCTCAGAAATATTTGTAGTGAACGTAGAGGAGACCTTGGAAGTGGTGGGTTGCGGCTATTTACGATCCTTCAATCATTCTGTTGTCGGCACGTCGATCCCACTGGGCATCTTTTTTCGTCAACTTGGTCTCAGTGGGCTAGACGCTACCATTGTGCAGTCGCAAGTGCAGGGCGAAAAGTAGAGAAACCTAGCCGCTCCGACACGCAATCGATAATCCGTGTTCCAACTCGTGTTTCGCAAGGGCAGATCGCATGCGTTTCGAGATCGATCTGAGGAAAGATGGTGGCACTCGCACGTTACGAGTGGATGTTGGATGAGAACTATGTTCTGATACAGCGAACGATACAGATACAACACAGATTGATGGAGAACTCCGAGCCTAGTATAGTGTCAGCGACTGATTCAATATCCCAGAGTCTAAATACACACACACCCTCACTCCGTCCGATCTAAGAAACCGATCCCGCCATTCTTCACCTTCGCCATGAAGCTCTCATACCACTTGACGATGAGCCCCATCGGCACCGGCACATCAGGTGAGACCGCGTTCCCGCCTGTGAACCCGGACACGTAGTTGAAGAGGTGCTTCACGATGCGCTCCGCCAAGACCGTCGGATCCCGCGTCGGCTCCGGCCGGGCAACTGCACCACTCATAGAAGACATCTGCGCCGCGATGTCGGCGAGGGGTTCGATTGCCAGGCCGAGGATCGCCGTGACTTGGGCGGCGGCGTCGGGCGCTCCGCCTGCTGCATCTGAGAAGGCGGAGTGGCTTGAGCTGGCGGACTGGGCGGTGAAGGTGCCGCGGAGTCGGAAGATGGCGGATGGTTTCTCGTTTGACAGCCTGGAAGGTGGGCAGCGCAGAGGTCGCCGTGAGTTGCTTCATCTGAAAAGAGTGCCTGGAATCTATACGCACATCCCGAGGACCTGAAATCCCTTCCCCGGCCAGAAAAAGTGGACCGTACACCCATAACCTTCTGGAAATGGGACTGGAGATGCATCAGCCCGATGAATGCCGCAGAGATGACTCGTAGGAGACTCACTGGTCCCGAGCAGAAACACGCAGATGTGGTTGATTGAGCTGGCGGCGGGCAACTCGAAATAGGCACGCGTTTCATCGACTTGTTGTAAGTTCGTCTGAAGGAGACGGCCAGCGACGCAGCAGCCGAACATCGTCAAGGACGAGAGGGTGGAGAAAGAAGAACAGCGTCATGGACAAGTTATATCTCGCCCAATATGGAAGTCTCTAGAAACTGCGCGACTTGTTTATTGCTCTGGATCCATCTCGAAGGAGCCATATGAAAGTGTGCTTGCGACATATGCGCAGCCGTACTATTGGTCTGGTGGCCACCTGAGAGAGCCACATTTCATCCCAGTTTTCAAACTATTAGTTTCGTGATCCTGTCGAAGGCCCCTGGGCCACCGCTCGACAATTGTGAAGACACTAGCAATAGAAGAGACCCCTATACCACACTGAATGGTCCAGGACTCCCTTCGCGCGGTTCAACTGTCATGGCGCGAACTGTGCTAACCGATATTTGAATCAAGCAGCAGCAAACAAACTGTCGTCGACCTGACTTCCACAACCACCCCATGGATTTCGACGACGAGCTGCTGGAACTCGTCGATGGCTCTTCGAAGCGGAAGAGGAGCCGCGACGGGTCGGCGCCGGGCGGGAAGAGCAAGAAAGGCCTGAAGAAGCGGAAGGTTGCCGAGTGAGTCGGCCCGCATCCCGCTCTCCCCAGCGGCATTGACGGCCGGTCTTGCGCAGTTCGGACGACGAACCGGAGAGCGAGGAAGAAGAGGATACGGAGGGTGACTCCGAGCTGTACCCCCTGGAAGGGAAATACGTCGACGAGCAGGACCGCGCGGAGTGAGTATGCATGGTCGTGGTGGTCCCCCTGCGGTCTCAACGCACACACGCACAGGCTACTCGGGAAGCCCGAATTTGAACGGGAGCAGATCATCTCGGAGCGTATGGACGAGAAGGAACGGATACGCGACCGCAAGTACGTCGAAAAGATGCGGGCCAATCAACTCGCCGGGGTAGCGGGAGTGGGTGATGAAGATCCGAAGTCCCGTTCGTGGTCTCTACTTTCCTGCCTCACCAATTCATCTCACGGCGCCGCAGGTCCTGCCCGTAGCTCTGGCAAGGATCGGACAAAGGACCGGTCTCTGCACGCCCTCAAGGCTAAACGCAAGGCCAAAGACGAGAAGAAGAAAGTACGTCGTCGGTGCGCATTTTCATTGAAACGTTCCCAACTGAGTGGTCGCTCCAGAACCACACCGGCTCCCCCAAGAATGGACGTGACCGGTCCTCGTCGCCCACGGACATGGACATGTCTGACACGGACTCGGAGGACGGACAGATCACGCGCCAACAGCAGCAGGAGGAGCGCTACCTGGGCAAGCCCAAGTCGTCGTCCAGTCCGGTCGATGATTTGCCCTTGAGCAGCGACTACCTGCGGAAAATCGGGCTCACGCGTGACCATTTTGTGCAGTATATGTCTGCGCCGTGGTTCGAGCAGATGGTCGTCGGTTTGTGGCCCGCGCTCTGTCTACTTGCCAGCCAACGCTCACGCTGTTTAGGATGCTGGGTGCGGTATTTGATAGGCATGGACTCGGGCTCCAACAGGCGAGTGTATCGAATATGCCGAGTGATGAGTGCGTGCCTGCATCCCAGACGCATTGTCCGGACACAGAGCTGATAATTCGACAGGCCTTGTCCCCGTCAAACCGTACAAGATTACCGGGGACAAGATGATTGACCGGCAGTTTGTTCTCAAGCACGGTGCTGCGGAGAAAGCGTGGTCTATGGAGCGTACATCGAACGACCCTTGGACTGATGTCGGTCGGTCTCGCGTGATAATATCCGGCAGCCTTCATCCTTTCCTCAGGAGGAATTCATAAGGCTCAAAGACACCTGCGTGGCGGAGAGCACCGCGTTGCCGACGCGCAAAGAGGTCGACGAACGCTTGAAGGAACTGCGCACGCTGGTGAACAAACGATTGACCGAGGTGCGTGCGCGGCAGCTATGTGTCGGATCGTGAGCATGTATACCCTCCATTCAACAGGAGGACGTAAACACGCTGATCGCCAAGAAGCGACAGGCGCAGCCGTTCCTGACGGGCACCTCGGCCGTCGCTGAGCGCTCGCGGCTGATCGCCCAGCGTACGCTCGCCCAGCGGCGCAACGACCCCGAGGAGGTGCGCCAGATCGACGAGCAGCTGGCGAAGCTGGTAGCGGAGGCGGGTGGTGGGTCTGGTGCAGCGACGCCCGTCGTCGAGGACGAGGTTGCGGACCGGCTGGCGCGTGTCAACGAGCGCAACCGCAAGGCGAACATGGAGGCTGTGCGGCTTGCGGAGCTTGCTGAGGCGGAGCGGAGGCGACAGAAGAGGAAGGGGCCGCATGCGAAGCTCGATTCGTCTAGGTGTGTGTCGGCTGTTGCTAATGTCTTCTGTTGTGGGACGCCTCTCATCAATGCTGCGCATTGCAGGCCACAGACTCCGGGCTTGGGCACGCCGGGGACGGATGAGGCGCTGAAGGCGGATGGGAAAACCTTTGAGGCGGCTATCATCGATTCGATCGAGTTGGATCTTGGGGACTTTTAAATTTGATATGTATGGTATCGAGCCTTCGTGGAGAATTGAACGGTGTTCGAACTTGACGTCGGTCGTTTCTACTGCCTGTTCATGTGTGTACGTAGGTAGTCTTGCCCAATATATCAGCTTTGACGTCGATATTCGGCGTGTCTCGCGGGACAAGTCGCCTGTAGTCGTGACAGTGAAATACTTACCGTGCGTCTGTCTTGCCCCATCTAAGCGTACATACTTGCAGTAGAATTCGACAAATTGGGTGGTCTTTAATCGAGTGGAGTGGCTGGTTTTTGCTGATACTGTAAATGCATGCTTGGTCACCAGTTTGGGGGACGTTCAGCGCGGCGTTGGAATGCTTGCAGTTCTCTGGCGGCGGCGGCCCTAAACTAGCAATGAGGCTGCGTGAGTGAGTGAAATCGACATACTGACATACTCCATGGCACTTTGGTGCTACTGCATTACTAGATCACTTTTGCCAACTCCAATCGAGAAATCGCAGTGAACTAAAGAAGAAGAAAACAGCTGCTCCAGCCCAGTGCATTGAAATCTTCTTCGACCGGAGCCGTGGCAGCAATAAACCATTCCAGTGTGCTAAGCAGTATATGTATGTCCTCAATCCAGACCCATCTAATCTAATCAACGCTCGTCTCCCTCTCCGTCACCACCACCATGCGACTCGGACGATCTACGGATTCTTGAAGCCCCCGGGCTTGTACCTGCACACAGAGAACCATCAATTTCCAGCGCCCCGAGAAGGACGAAGCACGCACCACTGCCACCCGAGCGCGACGAACGGGAGCGAGAACCCGAGGCCGAGGTATGCGACGCACTTGGCGGCGAAGGCGGTTTTGTTCGCGTACGAGAAGGGGATGTGCTGCCCGGGATACGGTGAGAACGTTGTCGGCTGGCTGGAACCATCATCCAGCAACGGACGCACCTGGTAGTCGGCGTGCCCATGCGCGTGGCGGCGCAGCGCGGGGCCCGCGGTGGGCAGGCGGATACGCAGAGCGGTGGGTGCGAGTGTCGCTGACATGGCAGATGGTGTTCAGTCTGGGCCTTTGTCGTGGGCAGTTTTATACGCGTGTCAGATGTGCGGGGTGGCGAGGTCTAGGCGCGTCTGATGCGCATCTTGTGATCGAGGGTGGACCAGGCGGTGGTCCAGACGTCATCTAGATTGTCGAAGGATTTGAAGGACCTTGTATGGAGGTTGAGCAGCCAGTCTCTACCAAGCCAAGGCGGTGTTCATTTCTTGCCAACTGGCAATTCGATCCAAGTGCAGTGGGTTCGGAACGTCGCGGAGGCTTTGAGTGTGTGTGTGTGTGTGCCAAGGGTACAAGATTAGCCCTGCAATCAATTCCAATACAAAACCGCTCGTTCTATCCTCCAGAAGCTGAACCTCGGCAATCGAGTTTCCGCGAGTGCATCTCACGCGCTATCATTCACGGTCACGGGATTTCGAATTATTGATGACATCACCATAATCAGCTGTCCCCGTCACACTCCGCGCCCGCATGACCCCTCGGGCTCGGGTCCACAGCCGCTTGGACCCGCAGAGAAAGACGTCTTCTGCAGCTATCCACCAAGCAGTCGGCTTCTTCGATGCCAGCTGTCTGATGTAGTACGTGGAGTGCAGCTCCCTCGTCGTCTCGCGAACGCCACGATCATCTGAAGAGGCTTTCGGCCCGGCGGACCGCTTCTTGCATATATCGTGGCATATAAACGACACACGCTACAAGCCTGTGCCAAGGTTAGACTCATGCCCGGCTGGCGCTGCCTCCTTCTGCTGCTCATCGGTGCAAGTGCCTGCACAGCGCGTGCGGCTGCCGCAACAACGGCGTCTGCACCACGGCCGACGTGCACCGTCGCACATACACCCGGGGCGGACGACAGCCCCAGCATCACCGCCGCCGTCACAGCCTGCAACTCAAACGCGACGATCCTGTTCTCCGCAGGCGTGCAGTACAACAGCTTCACGCCGGTGCAGTTCGCGCTGGGGCAGGACGTGACTGTGCGCATCCTAGGCAACATCAGCCTCCCTGCGGACATTGCACAGGTGCAGGCGGGCGTGCGCAGCGCGGCGTACCGCTCGGGCTGGTTCGCGGTGTCGTCCACCGGGCCTGGCGTGCGCTTCGCCGGGCCGGATAAGATCACAGGCGGCGGCGGAGGGGTCGTGCGGAGCTTCGGGCAGGCGTGGTGGGACGCGGGGCAGCAGACATCGAGGCCCCTGCTGTTCCAGTGGCGAGCCAGGTACGCTTCGGGTGGGGGTACCCCAGGTTTCTAACGGATTCGCAGCAACGGGACTATTCGCGGGCTAACGATCAGCAAGCCGATTGGAAAGAGCTTCAATATTGCGGGGAGTGGGAATTGGATTGAGGACGTCGTTGTGGATGCGCAGTCGAGCAGCACGGCGTTCCCGTTCAACACGTGCGTGCGATTTCTTGAAACACGTTCTTTCAAGTCTCATCTCGAGTCTCATCAGCGACGGTTTTGACGGTGCGTACATCACATCAGACACCTCATTCACATTCGTAAACCCTCTCAAAACCATCCTACAGTCGGCGGAGACGGCAATACCATCCTCAACTCGCAGGTCTCGAACGGCGACGACTGCGTCGCCATCGGCTCACCGTGCACGAATCTGCACCTCAAGGGCCTCACGTGCATTGGGTCCCACGGGATATCCGTGGCCGCGAAGGGTGGGGGGTCCGTCAACGTCGCGAACATCCTCGTCGAAAATGTCACGCTCTTGGATGGGTTGTATGGCGCGCGGTACAAGTGGGTGCGATCTGCGCTCCAATGTGAAGCTGACGCGACCCAGATCGACGAGTGGCAACCAGGGCCGTGCGAGCAACATCGTGTACCGGAACGTCGTCGTGCGCAACATCACGTTCCCCATCTACGTCACTCAAAAGTCAGTCCCGGCAACATGGCGTGTGCTAGCGCTGACTGCATGCGCCGGCAGTTACTTTGACCAGAGCCAGTCGCCACCCCCGCCGTCCAACCTCTCAGTCCAGATCGATGGATTGACGTTCCAGGACTTTGCGGGCACAATCAACTCGCTGAACCCAGGTCTGTCGGATTTATCTTCCCCTATCTTATCTCATCTGCTCCTGACCAGGCGACGGCTCGTGCATATCGGATCCGTGCTGGTACCACGTCGCCGGCGCAGACGGCACCCAGTCCATCATCTTCGACAGCCTCCACGCGGGGTCGGCGACTAACCTCTCGGCGACGGGGATCGCAGTCGTACCGGACGCGCCGTCCGAGCGGCCGACGGTAATGTACAACGCCAGCGTGACGCCGGGGGACGTCGGGTTCCGGTGCTGGGACGGGCCGTACATCCCCACGTATTCAAGTTGACGCCTCCTCTATGAATCACACGTGTCTCTAGTTCCACAATTCTAGGAACGGCCCCGCGTGCGGTCGCGGGGGCTCATCGGCCTGCATCATGACCAGAAAATCGGACACCAGTCCGGCCGCCGCTCGGGATGTAATCTCGGCGATGTCGTATGCCGGGGCGACTTCCACGACGTCTGCCCCGCTGAGAAAACGAGTCAGTCAGTCAGCGCCGATCTTGACCGTGGAATCTCGCGTACACAAAGTTGAGCCCTGCCAGGCCGCGGATGATGCGCTTCATCTCCCGTGTCGTCCAGCCACCGATCTCGGGGGTGCCCGCTGCCCAGAATGGTGAGCGCTAAGAAACACCGACTGATGCATGCACGTACTGGCGGGGGCCATCCCCGGGTCGATTGTGTCGATGTCGAGGCTGTGGTGAGTGTGAATATGAGTGACTTCAGCGCCAACTGCAACACCCACCTCAGGTACACCGGGGTGTTGCCGACGCGTTCCCTGATCTTTCGGATGACAGCCTCGATCCCGTAGTCGTCCAGGTCCTCCGCCGAGATCACGGCGAACCCGACTGCCTCGTCGTGCTCAATAACCACCTTGCCCTGCTGCATCCCTGTGAGCAGCCCTGGGACGGAAGGAGAGGGTGGGACTGACGCTCGACTTTTGGCGGATCCCGCCGTGGATGCTCGTGTTCGTGAGCAGGCCCTCCTCGTGCGCGAGCGTGAAGTACGAGCCGTGGCTGATGCGCCCCGGGCCCTGGATGTGCTCGACGGCCGCCGTGTCGTAGTGCGCGTCAAAGTGGATCACCTGGGAGGACCAGCCGGGCTATCAGTGGGTCGTCGAGCGGCTCGATCTGAAGGCACTGACAGAGATAGGCCCGTACACTTTGTAGAGCGCGCGGAGGATCGGGAGGACCTGAGAACGTAATGATGCAGTCTGTGTGGAATAGAACCCGCCGGAGACGACATACGATGGTGTGGTCCCCGCCAAGTGTGACGATGCGCGGATGCTCCTGGCCGTCTTTGGACAGCGCGGCCGTGCTGGCCTTGGTCTCCCCGCTGACCGGGCGCCCGAGGAGCGTACTGTACGCGACCTCCATCTGGTCGATCGCCATTGCGTTGTCCATCATCGTCGTCGGCACCTGGCGATCGGTTACCCAACCACACGGGCGGTAGCACTCAGACGAGGAGACGCACATCGCCGCAATCCATGATCCGTGCACCCCAGTCTAGCGCGCTGTGATCCCACGCGAGCGTGTACCCGTTACTTCCGCTCCCGACGCGGATGGCTTGCGGCCCGAAGCGCGCGCCGGGGCGGTACGACGTGGTCGTGTCGAACGGCATCCCGAGGAGCGCGATGTCGAACGCGCGTGACGCGTCCTCGAGGCACCGCGCGTACGGGAGGTGGTTGAAGCTCAGCGGGCCGGTGTAGCCTAGGTCGTCCTGCGCGCCGTATTTCGTGAACCACGCCTCGGTCGAGACGTCCACGGGGGTCGCTGGCGCGGCATGTGAGTGGGCGGAGATCGAGGGCACGGTGAGCGACAAGAGCGCTGCGAGTGGAGCAAGCATTGGAGACGAAGCTACAACGACGCGATAACGGCCAGCGGCATCTTATGTGAAAGACTCCTGATAAGAGTTCACTGCGCTATCTGGCCGCGGCCGTGCTCTTCTCTGGATGTGTTCACGTGCCTATACGGCCTATACGCAGCCACCGATAAATATCTAATCGATAAGCTTGCTGTCTAGATCGCCATAGGGGTATTCTTCTTTGTGATTCATCTTCAGGACCGTTTATCGCACTTCAAGTATTTAAGAAAATCGATTCAGGGCCGCATATACTCTAGCAACAGGTCCGATTCCAGTCCATGCGATCACCGACGCTCTGACCGTCGGAATGAAGCTAACGCTGTTCTGTGTACCTTGTTGCAATCCTCTTATTCACCGAGCCCGTTCTGACTGTTAGCTGGTTGATAGGGAAAGTATATTGCAATGAATGAGATTTGGAGCTCCAGAACAGGGGAACAGCGCGAACTGAAGCCCTGGTCGTCATTGCGTCTCGGACTGTGTCTCCGTTGCTTGAATTGGCAAGGCCATGATTCCAGCGTCCAGAGTCACTTCGATACACTCGAAGCGACAAGGAGAATGAGAGGAGCCCAGTACTAGTGCCTGCAGCAACCGTCCGGGTTTCCATGCTTGCCCTTCCGTACTGCTGCTACCCTTCACTCAAATCACACAGATTTAACGCGGCCATCGCCGCCGCTGGGTGATGTCACGCGCCGTCAGACTACCTCGCTTTTACCGACCGTCATTACCTGCAGTGTTTTTCGCCTGCCTTCGACGACGACGACGACGACGAAGATGGCGGGTCAATATCCGCTGGCGGCTCTGACTGTCTTTTTCACCGTCTCTCTGTCCATACCTGCCGTGCTGGCGATTCAGCGTCTGCACCGCGGGGTTTCTATCGAAAAGCCAGCCTCACATCCCTTCCCGACCGCCTCTCCCTCCTCACCTTGTGGTCAGTCCCGCCCTGCGGGTCTTGGATTGGTGCTCGCTGACATCGCACGCACATACAGTCGTTCTGTCCTCGCTACTTCGTGCTGTGATCGAGTTGGCTACTCTCAGACGGTTGCCGTCCGAGGAAGATCGACACGTTACGGAGGACCGCGACGAACATCTGTCCTACGACGACGACGACGAATCAGAAGTCGAAGTCGACGAGAACGTCGACTGCACGCGTGCCGCCGGCCCGTCGACCGACACCGCGGCTGCGCTCGCTCCGGTCCGTGGGAGCCTTGGCCGACGGGGGCCGCTGCAGGATGCGACGCCCCCGCCGCCGCGCGACTTCGCGATCGACTGGGACGACGTCTGGCCGGCGTGGACCCGGGATCCGCGCAGCAGCCGTACCCGGCTGGTCTACGACACGTACTTTGACGCGTTCAGGAGCACGGTGGTGCACCCCGTGCGTCCTTCATGCGGCGAATCTGGCGCAGATGCGGACGAGGGGATGCTGGAGGCTATCATGCAATTGGACGACGACGAGCTCGTCTCGGCGTTCCGCTCCCTCTCCCTCAGCTCTGACGATCGTGGGGACGACGACGACTGTGCGGGCAACCCGTCTGCGACTCTCTCTCTGCCCGAAGATCTCGTGGTCGGGCCTCCCGCGGGGCTCTCGCCGTTCTGCCCTCCCCCGGTCCCCATTCCGTGCCCAGAACAGCCAGCTTCTGCGTGGCGGCTCGACTGGTACTGACTGCGTATCACGCATCACGCATCCCACATCCCTGGCTCTGCCCTCTCATTCGCATCACTTCGCACCACTCACTCTGCATCCTTATCACTCCGTAGCATTCACTCACTGCCCTCCGTACAGTACTCCCCCTGCGGCCCTACCTGGCCCAGGTCGCCTTGTCCTCACTCTACATTCCTTGCGCATTTCGTTCCATTGTTTTTGTTGCGCAAAATCGCACGCATCGCATCGCATGTATTAGCTTATCCACTGTATAATTGCCATCCTGTCCTCTGTTTGTCCCGGTCCCGTACCTTGTGTTTCGGGGCTGAGGCTGATCCCTATGCTGTCCAGCGCACCGCGGGGGATTTGCAGGGACTACTTAGCAGATCCCTCCCATTCAGGTTACGATCCAGATCGGCATCGTGAACAATCACAAGAGCAGCTGAACTCGCTGTGGTCAGGGGGATGTATTCCTCGATCGTGAGACATCGATTCGAACGAGATCCGATCTGAGTTGTGAGGACAAGTGAGACACAACAAGGAGGCTTTCGCGTCTCGGCAGTGTGACCTGAGTCGTGATCGTGACTGCACGCGCTACCACGTGCGCCAGATTGGTCGAGGCTCCCATCCACCCATCCACCTTGCCTGATTTACTAAGCGAGCGAGTATGTCGTTTCCAAGAAGACAAAATGTAATACTCGAGGTATTTTTGATCTAAGATCTCGTTGGTTACTCGACTAACTCTTCTCTCTGAACTGACTCCGAGGGGTGACAAGAGAGAGGATATTCCTGTGATTACTCACGCTATGAGGCATGTTCCGACGAGTTGAAAGAGAAAGAGCGCGAGTTATTGAGGCGCGCGCTACACTCAGCAGTACTGGTCGGTGGGTTTCTCGCCCTAGGTGCATCGAAATCGAAGAATCCAAGACTTGATATCGGTAGGACATACATTCATGGCGGTGTGATTTGCAGCTTGGCAGCTTCGGAAACACATGCGATTCGAGAGAACTGATGAAAATTACTTGGATTGATATGCGGTGGACGGAAGCGGGTTTTTCACTGGGAAGCGATGGAAACCTCCCTCAGACGCAGCTTCCCATTCATGAGAGCACTTGAGGGATGCTGCGGCCATCGAATCGCTGGCAGACGTTGACGCAGTGTTTCATTCTTTCGCCATCCAGTTGGTGATGAAAGATTCTTCCGCCGGCGCACTCGCGCTCCGGTCATCCTGGACGACATCGCCGCACCTGTCATCTTTGCAGTGTTCATTATATTCGGACTTGCTGTAGCATTCGGAACGATTTAATTCGTGAAAACCGAATCCTCATAACGATAATCCGGGACGACATTCGACGGAGTGTTTGCAGCGCAACCGTCATCCCCTCCTGTCGTTTATCAAGTCAAGTTCCGCCCTCTTGTCTCCATCGTTCGGCAGCTTGCACGGGGGGCGCGGCCACCCACGGGCCAGGTTTTGAGAGCAAGGGCTTGATCGAAGAGAGACTGCACATCTGAATACAAGATGTGTCGCGGTCCAGGTCGAATGGAGGGTTTGAGTGCAGTCGGCGGTTTACCAGAGAGATTCTGAGCCATGACGAGGTCTTGAAAATCACTTGTCAACGACCACAAAGGGAAGCCACTTGGGGCGTAGTCTTCCTCGCGGAAGAGGGATGATGACTTCATGAGAAATAGACACACGGTATTGAATAACCCAGAGAAGCGCCGAGGACCAAGCCGATGTTCCGTGTGTCGCAAGCAAAGCCAGATGAGCAGCCAGTACAGCGACTCGAGATCGTGACCCAGCGCGTGCTTTGCGGTCGGATTTTTCTGAAGCATCGCTAATGCCATGAAAGAGGGGGTACCCTGCGAAGTCCAAGTCGATCTATACACCATCCAAACAAGAGCACGCACCGTGCTGCCCTTCGTTCGCCTTGTCCTGATCCGGGAAGAAGTGTCGGTGCGGCCTCGGCTTGACGACATCCCTCAGAACTCTCAGCGCCTCTTCACTCAGCGCAGCGTAGTCACAGTCGATGACAAAACCAACGAGCCTCTCGGGCTCGAGACAATTCTCGATCAACAGCACATTCCCTGCCTTGATGTCCTGTTGGACCGCGCCAGCTTCGTGTGCGCGATTGAGTTCTGCGGAGACGTAGAGGAAGAAGAGCTGGGGATTGTTCGGAAAACTCACGTTCTGGCGCTTGTGAGAAGCCATAAACCATCGTCCTCGTGCTCGGGAACTCTTCGATCCGAACCCAGACGGGCGTAAGCAGTGTGCGCATGTGATACCGGCGCGAGGCAGCGAACTCGTCGACAACAGATCACGTCTCGTGCTGCGGTGGATCGCAGGAGGGACCCGACGCTCCGTTCTCGTAGACAGTATCTGCCTCGGTTGAACAAACGCAAGAGCTTCATGGATGGCATGAAACTCGATTTGATTTGACCCAGTCTGTGACTGATCACGTTCGCGACCTTTGACTGTTTGTTTCTGCAGTGTTGTTGATAAGTAGTTAAGGTCTTAACTTGACCAGGCTTATTATGTACTTAACTTAAGATAAGTTGAACCCTTAACATCGGTGTAAAACATAATAAGGCTCTTAATAAGTCTTAATATAGAATTACCTACACTGGCAGCAATTCCCATGAACAGACAACGTCCACGTACCAGCTCGTGGCTTCCAACCACCCTCTCATCTCTTTTGGGGGGAAAGTCTCAAACCCCATTGTGATGGCCTGTTGCGAACGCGTGGTGTTGGAGGAAGCACTGTACATGGAGCTGTTAGCTGCCAAACATGACAATGAAGCACCGGATGCAGGTGCTCTTGAGGGCTCCGGAGATGAATACGCGCCGTAGAAGTTTTCTTGTAATGTTTTGAACCAGTATTGACGCAAATAAACTCATTTGGGACTTGAATACAAATCAGGTAATAAGCCTTATAAAAGACCCTTAAAATAGGCACCCTTAATAACTCTTACCTTGTCCTAAGACCTTAATTTCAGCAGACACCCTTAATAACACCCTTATCTACAACACTGTGTTTCTGCGTATTAGATGCTTAGGGACCACAACATATTTCCAAGCATCCTACAGATGCCGCGCCTAGTTCGGTAACATGTAGCCAGACATGGCTCTGAGATCCGAGCCCCTTGAACACTTCAAGGATCACTTGATCATATCTGAATATTCCATGACGTAATGAAATCACATGACCCTCCGTTCGGATAACTCGTGCCTCGCAAGTTCCCGCACGCCCCACTGCTTTTGCTGTGTCTGCCTAGTGAAGGCGCTGCCGGAGACGCCTGGGGACTTGACCTTTGACTTGTAACATCTCACTGAGGTAGTATCATCAGTTGTCATTCCGGTCTCCTATACTGAGAACGGTTCCGCTCCAGACCCCTCCACTTCACATCGCTTCGCCCACGCCCAGAGCCAACCCAATCGGGACTACGCCATAGGACGCGCTCCTCACACAACACCGCCGGAATCAAAGACGACATTAGGATTCACAAAGAGGTTCCCGCACAGGTGCACTCCTGACTCTGTGGACAAAAACGAAACGCCCGCTTACGCCTTACTTAGGGACCTTTAATGAAATTGCGACGACGCTAACGTGACGAACGTTTTTCACGACCACCGCCATGTCCGCATACACACCATCCCGTCCTTACGATTCGCCACGATCGCCGTACGAAGTAGAGTCGGATACCCGCTCGCACTCGGATTCTGGGAGCCCCGGCGTCCGCGACGGCCGAAGCTTTTATGACAACCAGGGTGCCTACGACCCATACCGTCAGTCGCCCGTCGCTTTCTCTGTTTGCCGGGACTCGAGGCTCATGTCACCTCAACAGCACCACAGGAGTCCAGCGATACGGAATCGTCTGGCGAGCACCAAGACTACCATTATGAGAACTACCACAGCGGGGGAACACAGCTTCCGGAAGCGTACCCCGCGTGGTCCGCCAAACGAGGGATTCCATTGTCGAAGGAGGAAATAGAGGATGTGTTTCTAGATCTGACACAGAAGTTTGGGTTCCAAAGGGATTCGATGCGGAATATGGTGCGTGGAGGAGGTTGATCTTGTTCTCCTGGTGCCTTATAGGCCGCAGTTCGACTTTCTTATGCAGCTTCTCGATAGTCGGGCCTCCCGAATGTCTCCGAACCAAGCTCTGCTCACGGTGCACGCCGACTATATCGGCGGACAACAGGCCAACTACCGCAAATGGTACTTCGCCGCCCAGCTTGATCTGGACGATGTCATCGGGAAGACACAGAACCCGGGTATCAGCCGTCTACGCTCGAAGCGTGCTCCAAACAAGCATGCTGCGCACCAACGATCGTTCAATATCGCGATGGAGCGCTGGCGCCAGGCGATGCACAATATGACTCAGTACGACAGGCTGCGGCAGGTCGCGCTTTATCTGCTGTGCTGGGGAGAGGGCGCGCAATTGCGCTTCGTCCCCGAATGTCTCTGCTTCGTCTTCAAGTGTGCAGATGACTACTACCGCTCGCCGGAATGCTTGAACAGTTCCGAAATCATGCCCGAAGGACTGTATCTGCGATCGGTGGTGAAACCGTTGTACCGATTCATCCGAGATCAGGGCTATGAGCTGGTCGACAATAAGTTTGTGCGACGAGAACGGGACCACGAGGATATCATCGGATATGACGACGTCAACCAGCTGTTTTGGTATCCCGAAGGAATTGCCAAGATTGTGCTAAAAAACACGGTGGGTTTCATTTCCCACTCACTTCCGACAGATCCTGACATTCTCTGTAGCGGCGACTGGTCGATCTCCCTGCCTCAGAGCGATTCCTGGCTTTCGAAAGTATCGACTGGAATCGGGTATTCTTCAAGACTTACTACGAGAAGCGCTCGTTTGGACATCTCCTGGTCAACTTCAATCGTATCTGGGTTATCCACGTGTCCATGTACTATTTCTTCACGGCTTACAACTCGCCGACGGTCTACGCTTTCAATGGTGTGACGACCAGGGCGATGCGATGGAGCTCTGTTGCGTTGGGCGGTGCTGTGGCCACCATGCTCATGATCCTTGCCACTATCGCCGAATTCTGGTACATCCCGTCACAGTGGGTGACCACCTCGCATCTGACCCGGAGGCTCGTTTTCCTGCTTGTAACCTTGGCTCTCACGGCAGCTCCCACCGTCTACGTGGCAATCGATTCCAGAGATGGACATGCCACCCAGCTGGCCCTCATTTTGGGCATCGCCCAGTTCTTCATCAGTGTTGCGGCCGTACTTCTCTTCTCCATCATGCCCTCGGGACGGATGTTCGGCGATCGTGTGGCGGGGAAGTCGCGCAAGTACCTAGCCAGTCAGACGTTTACTGCGAGCTACCCGGCCCTGAAGACGTCGGCTCGAATGGCGTCGATCTTGCTCTGGGTATTGGTCTTCCTGTGCAAATTCGTGGAGTCGTACTTTTTCCTGACGCTTTCGATCAAAGACCCCATCCGGGTGATGGTGGGAATGAAGATTCAAGGCTGCAACGACAAGTACTTTGGGAACAACTTGTGTCGCAACCAGGTTGCGTTCACGCTTACGATCATGTACCTGATGGATCTTGTGCTCTTCTTCCTGGACACGTTCCTCTGGTATGTGATCTGGAACACGGTCTTCAGTATCGCGCGTTCTTTCGCGATCGGGCTATCGATATGGACGCCGTGGACGGACATCTACACGCGGTTGCCCAAGCGAATCTACCTCAAGCTACTGGCCAAAGACGACATGCAGGCAAAGTACCACCCGAAGGTCCTGGTTTCCCAGATCTGGAATGCTATCATCATCTCCATGTACCGCGAGCATCTGCTCTCCATCGAACATGTTCAAAATCTTCTCTACCATCAAGTCGACACCGGCGAGGAAGGCCGGCGGAGTCTCCGGGCGCCTGCTTTCTTCCTCAGCCAGAACGACGGAAAATTCAAGGGCGAGTTCTTCCCGCCAGGAAGCGAAGCAGAGCGCCGCATCTCGTTTTTCGCCCAATCCTTGACGACGACTGTTCCCCAGCCCCTGCCGGTCGATGCTATGCCTACATTCACTGTCCTGACTCCGCATTACAGCGAGAAGGTGCGTTTTCTCTTTGCGGTTGTAGCCTCGTGCTCATTTATTTCTGCCGCAGATTCTGTTGTCACTGCGAGAGATCATTCGTGAGGAAGACCAACAAACGCGGGTCACGTTGCTTGAATACCTGAAGCAATTGCACCACCTCGAATGGGAGAACTTTGTCAAGGACACGATGATCCTCGCCGAGGAAACCGAGATGTTCAATGGCACGAACCCGCTCAATATGAACGAGAAGACCAAGGTGGCCGATCTGCCATTCTATTTCCTCGGATTCAAGACTGCGGCACCGGAGTTCACGCTTCGCACGCGGATCTGGGCGTCGCTGCGAGCGCAAACGCTGTATCGCACGGTATCGGGGATGATGAACTACTCCAAGGCCATCAAGCTGCTCTATCGTGTCGAGAACCCAGAGGTGGTGCAGATGTTTGGGGGGAACACCGATCGGCTGGAGCGTGAGCTGGAGAGCATGGCGCGCCGGAAATTCAAGTTTGTTGTGTCGATGCAGCGATACTCCAAGTTCTCCCCGGAGGAGCAGGAGAATGCCGAGTTCCTGCTGCGGGCGTACCCGGATCTGCAGATTGCCTACCTGGATGAGGAGCCTCCCTCCAAAGAGGGTGCCGAGACGCGCATATTCTCTGTCCTGATCGACGGGCACAGCGAGTTCCTTCCGGAAACCGGACGCCGGAAACCCAAGTTCCGGGTCGAGCTACCAGGGAACCCTATTCTCGGAGACGGCAAATCTGACAACCAGAACCACGCGATCATCTTCTATCGAGGAGAATACCTACAGCTCATCGATGCCAACCAGGACAACTACCTCGAGGAGTGTCTCAAGATCCGCAACGTGCTAGGCGAGTTTGAGGAGTACGCGAGCTCGCACGAGAGCCCGTACGCGGACTGGAACCCCAAGGACTACCACAGACGGACGCCTGTCGCAATCGTCGGCGCGCGCGAGTACATTTTCTCGGAGAACATCGGGATCCTCGGCGACCTTGCTGCCGGGAAGGAGCAGACGTTCGGGACCCTGTCGGCGCGCTCGATGGCCTGGATCGGCGGGAAGCTGCACTACGGGCATCCGGATTTCCTGAACGGGTTGTTCATGAACACCCGCGGCGGTGTGTCGAAGGCGCAGAAGGGCCTGCATCTAAACGAAGATATCTACGCTGGCATGAACGCGTTCGGGAGAGGAGGAAGGATCAAGCATACGGAGTACTATCAGTGCGGAAAGGGGCGTGATCTTGGGTTCGGGACGATCCTCAACTTCTCGACGAAGATCGGGACTGGGATGGGCGAGCAGATGCTCAGTCGCGAGTACTACTACCTCGGGACGCAGCTCCCGATCGACCGG